GGGGTATTTAGTCTCGGAAACCCACTGTTATTGAATTAATTTATTTGAAAAATGGTTTAGTCAATCTTAATTCTGCTAATGAAAAATCAATATATATTTTGAAATGTAACTTTGAAAGCTTTCGTAGTTACAAACTATACAAAATTTAAGTAGTTTTGTCGCCCTTAAATCATATTACTTCTTACTAATGTTATACATACGAATTTATAATGAATCTTGATGAAATTTGCCATAGAAGTAGTGTTACTAATTTTGACATAATTAACGATGACGATATGAAAGCGAAAGTCTCAAATATTCTTGCTAGGCCCACTGATGATGCTATGGTAGTTATGTGGGAGCCCTCTCTCCTGGGTCGTGCAGAAGCTCTGTGCAGTTCCCGTTGCATTCCTTTCAAGATCCCGGAACTCTCTCCAGTTGCATCTGAGGATGGCTACCAAGGATTTTAGTATGTCAAGTCGTACGTAACACTTCCCCTCCCCCTCAAGAACAGAAAGAGGCCTACTAATGAGTGTCTTTCTGTTCTTGAAAATCGATAATTCATTTTAGTTACGTTCTCATTAATTTTGCTGCAGTTCGCAAACATTGTGTTACAATAAACTCCTCATTTTTATTACGTAACGTCACATTAGCTCCGGACCAGAGTAAAGGGGCTCCTTGTTTATGTGAATAGGTTATCATATTTGTATTCTGAGTTATCTCCACTAGATAGGGCACAATCGACTCTTTTGTTAACAATTTCGCACTCGTACAACGGTACTTTGTTTATTACAAACTAATTTATTACATCGACGTGACTTAGTACGCTTCAATGTTATCTCAGTTTTTATATAAAACTAGCGGACCCGACAGACGTTGTCCTGTCTACATGTCTTTAATTTGAAAATTCGAATATTATTTAAAATTTGACACTGCGATGGTAGCGCCGTCTGTCGGTTCCAATGTAAAACATTCCAAAATCAACAACTACTAATGAATTAAAAATTAATTAAAAAAACATTGTCCAGCTGACAAAATTGTGAATCTAAACCATTCACAGATCCCCTTGAACACACACAAAAAATTTCATCAAAATCGGTCCAGTCGTTTGAGAGAAGTTCATTGTCATACACTCACAGAAGAATTATATATATAAAGATAGAATATGTATCATTTAATTTATTATTTGATTTTAATATTAAATTAATCAAGTATCACATCATCATGTAAACAAAAATCTGTTTAAAAAGTTTGTTTTGTTTGTGTTCTTTATTCAAATTAGATATTAAAAAGAAGGTTTATTTGCAATTTTGTTTGCATTTTATTTTATTAATTCAAGTGACTTCGTCCGTGCGGACGTAAAAAAACTCTTACTTAAAAAAACTCTTAAATGCTAATGTTAGGATACATGGATGTTTATTTGAAGATATCTCCCGAACGGCTGCATGGATATCGCTGAAATTTGACAGCAAGCAACAGCAAGATCCATGCAAGCCTTACTGAAGATATCTTCAAACAAATTTCCATCCTTACATTCAAATATTGGCATTTATAACATTGGTAATATTGTAGTATTTCAAGTTTCCTTATTAACTGAGCTATAAGTATTTTAACGTAATATATTCAAATGATCTAATTATGTCGACACTTGTCTCATGGTTTATGCATACCGTTTAAATGGACATTATTCATCTGTTAACATGCATTTCCACTGGCGCGTAAAGTCACGCCACTTATTATCAGTGAAAATCAAATCTTAATCGCTTTTTATTAACATCATTAGACGTGTGAAACTATTTATAAAGTAACTTACATTGTGGATAAAATTGAAGAATCTGTGTGTAATATCCAAAAAAATCATATTTGCCTGTCTGTCTGTTTGCAAATCCGCGGTTGTTTGACAATCTTTGATTTTTATTAAACACTAGCTGTCACTCACGACACCGTTCGCGCGGAATTAAAAAAGCTAATAAGTAGCCTATGTGTTCTTCCAGATTATGTTCTACATCTATGCCAATTTTCAGCGAGATCTATTAAGCCGTTCTGGAGATACCTTCAAACATCCATCCATCTATTTCGCATTTATAATATTAGTAAGATATTTGGCTTCTAAAAGATATATGTGTTAAGATCTGTCATAAAATAGGATAATTCCTAAAACTTGTAGTCTAACATAGGTGTCAAACATGATCTTTTCAGCTTTAATATTTTAGTAGAGACGCAAAAAGTTAAAATTACGCCGTTGTCATTTGTTTTAAAAACTGGTTTCATTAGTCCCTTCGCTTATACTAGTGTAGGCTTCTTGTGTCCCTAGGACATGTGGAAGTAATTCAATTCGTTACGCCAAGACTGGTAGCACAACATAAAACAAATCACATTAAAACCATTCGTACACAAGTTAACGATAATCTTCGGATACCGGCGATTTTAGTCGCTAAGACGTACGCAATATAATGTGATGAGGTACACAAGCGCGTCGACGACATTTCTGTCACCAAAGACAATCGCTTACAACTTACTTGTATAGATGCAATTGACATGTAGTCGCTATACATGTGCTAAGAAGACTCGCGTCAAACGTACAACGCAACTATATAATACTAGCTGTCGCCCGCGACGCTGTTCGTGCGAAAATAAAAAAATCTTAAATAGTAGCTTATGTGTTCTTCCACATATTTCCTTTCTACCATTCCAACTAAGCTCTAAGCATGTGTTAGAATATGGTTTACGATAACAGTCGAATGGCGGGATTCGAAACCCCGACCTCGTGATCGGAAATTCGTACCATTAACCTTTAGGCTATTGACGCTACTGTTTCATTGTTTATCTCTTAAAATAATTTGGTGTGTTTGGTTTAATAATATTGTTCAAATTCGATGAAATTATGTAGTTAAATTTTAGTACGTTTCCTTTAATAAACATATGCGATCGCGTCAACAGATGATACGTAGAGTTTATTAAACGGAAGTTATGTGTCAATAAACAATTAAACTTGTCGCAATTAAACTATATCAGACAGCTACGTTTTCTATCATGAAAGAGCAAACCAAAATTACTAGACCTCTCCTGCGTTCCGCGCTCTAAACTGTATCTTACAACTCAATGACGTTAAGTGCAATGTCAGGTGTATCTTTATATTGGACGGGAGAAAATATATATACACATATAGTTGGGCGCGTGGTACATACATATAAGTTGGCACTGTCGTGAACTCAAACATTCGTATTATGCAAGTATTATAACAGAATGTCTTATTCTCCTGGATGTGGTCGTTTTGAAATGAATTTTATTACCTGGTGATTAAATACATTTTTGTTTGATTATGTATCATATTAGTAGTTGTGTATAGAAAATAGCAACTACGATAACGTATAGGATTTAAATAAAGATCATGCGACAATGTAGACGACTCGTTTATCTTCGATCGTTCTATAGTTCATTACTTCCTTATTTCTCTGATATTATGCGTTAAATTATCATAATTGTGTCTGCATATATAATTATATATGTACAATTACTATGTTTATATATTTATTATCATCGTATTCTATTAGGTTCGTCGTACACATGGTAACGTAAATCTTTGAAATCCAGTTTTTGGTCGCTTAGCGACGCAATACTTGACGTTAGTATTTGAGACAAAAATTTTATAATACTAATGCGAATTTTTAGATAGATGGATGGATGGATGTTTGTTTGAAGATATCTCCAGAACGACTACATAGATCTCGCTGTAATTTCACAAAGAACGTACACATAGGCTTATTATTAATTTTTCTAATTTTGCGATGACAGTGTCGCAGGCGACTGTTAGTCTCTGTATAAAACTTATCATCATCCCTCTCATTTGATTAAATAGAGACAACAATATGTTTTAAACCACGGATTACAGACTCAGAAACCCACAATTAGAGGTTCGTACAGGTACTCATCGGTGACATTTTAGCCGGTAAAACCAATGGCTCGCAATCTGAGAGCCTAGCACGAATATTTGAGAACGTATTTGTAAAAATATCGACAAAATCTCCCAATCCGGTAACAATAACGAAGTAACAGCCCGAGGCTGCTGAGGGAGCTCTCGAGTCTTGTTACTCTTAAACGAGGTTCAGACTAAGCTCCATCTGCGCATGGCCACCTCAATCCCGGTGAAGCAGCAAATGCCTCTTCAAGGCAAACAATGACAAGTAAGTCACAAAAAAAATCGACAAAATTGCACGTCCGCAAATGCAACGATACTCGGGACGCAAGGATAAAAGTTCCAAAGATTTACATTTCCTTGTGTACAAAGGGCCTAATAAGAGGCGACAAGTAATGTCGTTTCTTGTTTCCAGTCCACACTTTTAATTTTTAAAATGTATCAAGTCTTACACCTCCGATGTAGTTTAATTATTTTTAAATAACAAAATCCAACGTATTTTGTTGCAAGTGAACAGTAATCGAATACGCGATGTTTTTGTTTTCGGTCAAATGAATATAAAATCTGACCTCGCTAGGAAGGAATAACCTCGTAATAGTATTTCAACAAAATTTCCATCCTTTTCATCAAAAAAGAAACAGATAAAGTCTGCTCGGTAATCCAATATTCCAACTAATACTATCTACATGTGTTAGTTGCTTCTTGATTGTATTATAATTTCAATCTCTATTGTTAGGAAGAAAATCCGACACTGTGCCGGTGTACTGGCACAACACTAGCCTTACTAAAATATCGACGTTTATGTCCCCTCACTATTCGCGCCAAAGGATTCTAAATAATAATGTCTAAAACTATATATGAGGACACAAAAAATATTTTTAAAAATAATTTTATGAATTTAGATTTGCAACTTTATTCAACCGAAAAGTTTCGCTTGCGGCATTTTTAGATTTACCTAAACAATTTAAAGAGTTTTAAATCTAATATTCTAGCGATTTCAGATGACGCATAAAAATGTGTAATTAAAAAAAAATGAAGCGGCTTATGCGAAGTTATTTGCTGCCAAGCCTATGTATAATGTATTAATTGCATTATTCTGGTATAGCTCACTGGGTGGTACATCAATGGCGTCTTTACGAGCGGTCACTCTGCTCTCTGCTGGAGCTGCAGGCGCGCAAGGGCACGTATTGTTGCTCCTCGCAGTATGTCCTCGCGCCGGAGTACGGCCAGCACCTGCTGCCGCTGCAACTCACGACGCAGCGCCATTCGCCGCCGCCCGCGCACTTGTAGCGGTACGACCACGCGCCGAACTTGGTGAGTACAAATATTTTCTTGAAATTCCCAAAAAAAAATTAGCATAAGAATATAAAAAACGATAAGAGACATACTTATGCTAGTTTCACACAAGGGCAGAAGAGATTGTCGAAATAGTACTACCATCCTAGAAAAAGTAAGCGATGTGGCTATTCTAAAAGTATAAACTGTTTGGCAGAGACAAAAGCTTTTGAAATGTCACACATTTTTCCTATACATTTTATTACTACTTTGTAGTTGTGTTATCGATTCAATCAATATCAGTACTAAACTGTCTACTGTTCTGCTTTTGTGTGAAACTAACTTTAGAACAGACCAACACGCAGCAACTCTATCTCGCTCTACACGAGGGTTGACTACGCCAAACTTCGGTTTTATTCGCAAATGTTCTTATCTTTTATATTAACAACAGGGTATTAATCCTGCTAAACTAACTAACGAATTAGATGAAATGTTCAGGTTAATAATAATACAAGAAATTAGCTGTCGTCGGAATACCGCGCGATATTAAAAAATAGAAAATATAAATTTTCATAAAAATAGGTCAAATCATTTCAGAGGAGTAACTAACGTTGTAACCCGAGAAGTTTATATATAAGATGTAGAATACATGCGTATACGCTAAAATAAAAACCTTAACCTAATATAATGTAACCTATGTAAATTCAAATAAATACATTGCTAGATAGAAAGATACAGCAATTGCTAATAAAGTTTACTCTATTTACTTAAGTATGAGATACTGTTTCAGTGTATTATAATATTTATTATTTAATATATCCTGCGAGCAACTGCCACTTACCTGCCGAAGTATCCTGCGCTTTATCTTAACGATGCCATCAATTCAACGAAGAGCCCGAATGATAGGTTATAAAGTCTTTCTAGTGATAACTATAAAGTAAAACGCACCACAATAAACACAGCTCTAGCCCTCAGTTATTACCTATAAAGTTTGCAAATAATACTATCCTTTTGTGTATTCTGAATGCGACTGTCGATTGTTTATTTCAAATATCTCAAATTCAAGTTTCCACTGATGTAAAACACTTTTAAAAACATATAGTCATCATTTATTTTCAAATAAAAGATGAGAGAGATGACAATAATTTTTGTATATGTTAATCGAAAGTTAAAAACGGTAGCGTAAACTGACTTACCTTTGGTTACAGAGACCGAAATTTCTGTATGATAAAACAGAGATAATAATATGTTTTAAACTGGTAATTTCGTAACAGAAACCCACGGTAAGTGCGCAAAATGTTTGATGAAAATCTTCATAGGAGATTTTACTTCAGTAGAAATTAAGTGTCAACTCGATGTATGGAATTTCTGAAACGTGATTTTCAAAATAATATCACCCTAAACAAAAGGCTAATACTTGGCGTGTTATGTTTAACAGAGGCGTCTAGCGTGACGATGTATTACCTATTTCCTAGTAGCCGGCTTCCTAGCACTTCAGAGTTGCCTTAGTAATAAAACTACCGGTGCAATAATAGCCGTCTCGTTCCATCATTCCTACGTAGCCGCGCGAGAATGAGACAGAGATACGCTTTTATAGCGTCCCGCCGTTTTTCCCCAACAAAAATTTTTACTGCAAAGCACTCGTAAACTTTAAGCAGTCTCGCTTCAAGAGAAGTAAGCGATTTGTATTTTATATTTTATTAGATTAAGAATTTTCACTGTGACGAAATAGTCACGATTTCATTGGCAATGTATTTTTCTATAAAATTATCAAACATCAGGCATTTATAGCTTAGCAACTCTTAAACCTAGTGCAAGCATGGAATATAAAGCTCATTTACTTTTAAATTTGTTTATGCGTTTATTTATAACCTTTTGAACTCTCTCCTTTAATACTGATCCAAATTGACGAATTAACTACTTGCCTTAATAAGGTTATTTTTTTATAATCATTCCTAATCGATCGTTTTGCAAAGCATTATCTCCCCTTAGCTTCTCCAGATGAAATCCAAATTATAACTGAATAGAAAACATAATTTTACTAATATTATAAATGCGAATGTTTGGATGTATGGATGGATGTTTGTTGAAAGGTATCTCCAGAAGGGCTGTATGGATCTTGCTGAAATTTGACATACATGTAGAATATAGTCTGGAAGAACACATAGTATTTAAGTTTTCTTTTTTTTAATTTCGCACGGACGGAGCTGCGGGCAACAACTATGTCATACGTGCGGAACATAATACTGATTCATTTAAATGTCATTTAAGTAATAAATAATTTTTATTATCTCATTTATATTCAAGGGCATAGTATAAAATACACAAAGGAGTTTAATAGTGTTTGTCCAATGACCTACCACAAGGCGAGACCCATTTAAAAATGGAACACTGGTACCAGACGCTCGTAAAACGAACCTTTGAGTGCTTGCCCTTTTTTATATCGACACTCGAGTATAAAAGTCAGTCGCTAATTTATTATCTATACTGAGAACACTATCTACTTTCGCAAAGACATTTTGATTACACAGTTATATGGAAAATATACAACACCAGCATTTAGACTTAGCTCGCGCGGAATTAAAAAAAAATCTCGTAATAAATGAAGCCTATATCCTCCAGGATAGTGTACCTTTCCAACAGTGAAATAATTTCTCAAATCGATTCAGTACTTTCGGAGCCTATTCAATTGAAAAATCAATAAAATATTGCCTTAATTGAAGGGCTCTGATTAGACAATATACGCTTTGAACGTAAACATAGAAATTATAAGGCGATTCAGGCATAAAATGACGTATTCTACGATTTAAATACTATGATCTTCTGCCTAAAAAGAAGCTAGAATTAAGGTTATTCCTAAACATCACTTAACTAAAATAGGATATTTTTTCATTATTTAAATGATAATTTATAGACTCTATACCTGCAAAGCAATTACGATTATAAAGCAAATAAAAGAGAAATGAATTTTAATATTAGTAAGCAACGGTGAATGCTTTTTATTATACATGTGTATGTTCTTTTGACAGGTGACTTTTATGTCGATGTAATTTGTTAATTTAGCACAACACTGGTGGTATAGAAATATCACGTATAAATATCGATGATGAAACTCTGTCACCGCACTACCGTAACGTCTGCCGATCGTAAAACTTTTCGCGCGTAAATGTCGCTTTTGACATTAGCATCTGTAGCCCTGTGTATTATTTATGTTGAAAGTCTACCTTTAGGTTTCCACCACTAAAACAAAATGTATAAAACGTTACATATTTTTCATCTCTCAATAAAGGAAAAACGGAGATCAATATGTTTTTACATGTGTTTGCAAAGAGTCAAGAGTGTAACATTACATTCGCACCCGAAACTAAGAGGGCGCGACATTATTATTTTGTTTGGATCTGAACGTGCAAAATGGCATTTCTTTATTAATGTCATACTCTAACTCAATTTAGAATAAGTGTTAATTACTTACTTGTTAATATGTTAAACTTAGTTAAAATGCTTAAAATATATCTATAAATTATACTTATGTTATATTATATTTAGCAGACGACCTGATTTTATCTTAATATAAAATCAATTGCTGTTCTTTAGTCTCCCTAAAACGAGAACGGCTGAACGGATTTATCTTGGTCTTGAAATGTTCGTAGAGGTCAAGGGAAGGTTTAAAAGGTGAGAAAAAATCGAACAGTTGCTGGGATAACCCTTTTATGAACCTTTTTTTAAATCAAGCGTGGACGGAGTCGCGGGCGACAGTTACTTTGTTATAAAATATTTAAATTCATCAAAAAAACTAGCTCGCGACTCTGTCCGCGGGAGTTAAAATAATCATTGTGGCTATGTCTTCTTCCAAACACTCGCATTTATAATATTAGTAAGATATAAATTATCAAAGCATTAATACCAGTAATTACAAATTATATTATCGCTCATAAAAATATTCTGTATCATAAAGTAAATCTAAAATGAATGTCCGTATTGAAATGCTTGGACAATATTTTATAGGTTATTTTAGGTAGATACGTTTTACGACTGGAGACGGAGCCGCACGACTCTATCTATCTAGATTTTATATGACCTAGCGTAAGTCTATTTCTAGGTAATGTTATGCTTTTATATTGAGCAGTTAAAGATATGCCGAGATAGAGTTTAAAGGGAGATTAATTTACCTTATTTAGTTTCATCATCATCATCATCAGCTCACTATACGTCCCCACCGAGGGGCTCAGAGCCTACCCTAAGTTAAGGGTGATTAGGCCATAGTCAACCACGCTGGCCCAGTGCGGGTTGGTTGACTTCTCACATATCTTTGAATTTCTTCTAAGATATGTGCAGGTTGCATCACGATGTTTTCCTTCACTGTAAGAACGTCGGATAAATGTACATATGTAAATCGGAAATCGAAGAACACATTGGTACATGTCGGGATTCGAACCCAGGACCTTATTTAGTTTAGTACTTAATAAATAAATTAATTTTAATACAATTTTTTAATTATTTTACAATTGTTACCAAGGTTAAAGATTTTAATTTCCACTCATAGTCAACACTTTATACTACCAGTCTAGTCTTTGTAACTAATACATGGTTTCTGAAGGAGATATTCTTCAATTTTTTTTGTAAGGAACGAAAGTCAAATGGAAAATCATAGGATAGCCTTAAGTGAAATTGTAAGATGGATAGCAAATATTATAAGTCATCATCAACCGGCCTCTGTTTCTACGGAGGATCGGCACAGTATGTACACTTCATACGTGTATTACGTAATATAAATTTTTGAATTTACTATATTTAAAGTTAATGTGACATTATTTATTGCAAACTTTGGTCTTAACCCTTAGTAGCCTGATTTACATACGAAAGTGATTTATTTTTAATTTTACTTTGTTTGCTTGATAAAATAAAACAATAATGAAATTTGTTTTTTTTTTTTAAATTTCGTTGGAAAGAATATTATACAGCAGTAAAATAGGTACAGCCAACCTATAAAAAAACTAATAGTAATGTGAACATTCGGTTTAAAAGATCGGTATCAAAAT